GTTTGAGTTTAGTTGAGCAATGTCACAATTTTTAGTCTGTCGTTTATCATATATAATTAATAATTCGTCATTATATTAATAGCAGGTAGCTATATTTTATCATGCGACATGAATGTCTGTATTGTCCAAAATACTTTGTACGTCTTTCTTCTCTACGAAATCATATAAAAAAGCATGATACTGATATTATTGAAATAGCTTTGCAAGAAATTGTAAATGAAAGAGAGAGAAATGCTACGCAATATGATGAACTAGAATTTCAAATGTCGAGTGATAAAGACCAATTAGAATTTCAAATGATGGGTGGTGAGAAACAAGAATTTCAAGCAATAAGTGATGAAGAACAAGAATTACAAATGATAAGTAGTGAAGAACAAGAATTTCAAATGAGTGGTGGTGAGAAACAAGAATTTCAAGCAATTAGTGATGAGGAACAAGAGTTACAAATAATGGATAGTGAAGAACAAGAATTTTAAGTGATGGGTAATGAGGAACAAGAAGAACGACAGAAAAATGCAGTTATCGTGGATATGATAGATGAAGATGAAACTGACAATGAAACTGATGTGATTAGTATGCACAAAGTACTAGTTACACTGCAGGTTTAAAAATAAATTAAGGTCAAAATTTCTAATTATTTATTCTGCTTTGCATGATCCTGCATAATATACATAATATATATCTATATATAGGAAATTAATGAAACAGAAACTTCTGACACTATTAGTATTAAGCATTTATTGCTTGATGTAGAACCCACTGCAATTTTTACGTCCCTTGATGTTCGTAGCTTAAGGGCAAATAGTTTAGGCTTCCCAAGTGAAGCATTTGGTGACTTTATGGAACTAATTTTGAAGTGGAACTTATCAGATACATATGCTAGTGATATTCTCAAGTTTTCACAAAAGATATGCCGTGATAATATAATTTTATCCACTTCAACAAAACAAGGTCGTCAATTGTTAGATAGAGTAGAAGTATCACATATTTCTTTCAAAAAAGTTCCCGTAATGATATGAAGAAGAAACTTATTATCTTCACTATCGTCCAATATTCGATTGTATTAAGGACCTATTGAGCAACCATAGCATCTTTGAACATTGTGTATTTGAGTTTACACTATTATATCATCAAGAACAACAGATATTTTCTAAACAATATAATGGGAAGTGGTGGGAACGAGCAAAAAAAACAATCCCTAATGATGCAAGTATTTTATCAATAATATTATATAGTGATGCTACAATGTGCGACCAGCTAAGAAAATCAACAGAACATCCAGTATATTTAACATTAGGTAATATTCAAAAAAAAAATAAACCTGATGCAAAAGTTCTTTTAGCCTACCTTCCAATTCTACAAGCAAAAACAGATACTTAAAAAAAATCACATGAGTTCATAATTGCAAAATGAGCTATATATCATCATTCATTAGATATTATGTTAAAACCATTGCTTGATTATAAAGAAAATGGTTTTGATCTTCTAACAAATAGTATTGAATTATAGTGTTATTCTTTTGTCTCTATGCTGTTAGGTGATCTTCCAGAAAATGCTGCATTAACATTAACATTTAATTCAGTTAATTGCAAG